TTGTTTTTTTTGTTAATTTCATTATATATGCAGTTTAACACTTTAATAATTGTACAAACCAACTTATACAATGTATATTTATATATTAACTGTATAAATCTAGGAGTACGTTTTATGTTGAGTGTATATATATATATACATTGTTAGGCTTATACAATCGGTCATAAAGTATAAATATACAAACCACTTAAATAACAACGTATAGTTATACATTAACTGTATAAATCTAGCCAGCTTATACAATCGTTCATAAAGTATAAATATACAAATCACTTAAATAACAATGTATATTTATACATTAACTGTATAAATCTAGCCAACTTATACAATCGTTCATAAAGTATAAATATAGAGTGTACATATACATTTTCTGTTCAAAAAGAGGAAAATATTTCAATATAACAAATACACATATAATTATTTGTACTAGCATAAATACAAAGAGAATAATATGTTCAATATAACTTATACATATATAATTTCTGTATATGATGGACCATATATACGACAACGATAACTCATACTATATACAAGAGCATGAATACAAAAAAAAAGAACAAAAATGCTCACTGTTAATAGGACATAACAAATTTATTCCATCATCACCATTCCAACTCATATAGTTTTAAACACAAAATCAGTTGCGAATAACATTGAAGTATCTATAAAAATCAATATTACACTCCAATATAATCGAAAGAGCTCATTAAACTTCTTGATGCATGTTTCTACATGACCGCCTATTGTGACCTGCAACTCCACATGTACTACATGTATGCTTCCCTTTGAGACCAAGCAATTCACGTGTTGTTTTTAGACGAGGTTTCTTTTTTGGCCTTTATAGAAGTCTTTTGAATTTTGGAGGCCGAACTTTATCATACATTATGTATTCAGGTATCACCCATTCTGCTACATCAGGCAATGGATAAATCGGTATCTCATAAATCTTCAAAACTGTCATTGGTTTATACAAATCCGAGCAATATTCATCAGCTACTAGACTTTTTTGCTTCAGCACCGCCCAAGCATGTTCACATGGTATTTTTTCGTATTGAAACTTTCCACAACTGCATGTTTTGTTCTTTAAACAGACCACAAAACTCCTACCATCATCAACCACATTGTGTATATATTCAGTCGACGGCACAACCTGTTTCATACAAACAGATTTATGTATATGTATAAGTTTATGCAATTGTATATGTATTAATTCTAACTGTGTGCATAACTGTCTTTATACAATTTTAAAGCAATTAATTACCGATTAATCAATATTAGATATACATAAAACATATCCCCATTCGTGTGCTCATTGCTTCATTTTCAACCAGTATATTCTGAAGTTTTCCAATCAACGGAGTAAATGTGCATGCTGCCTTGTGTTTGTTGTCATGATTCCATCTCCCAAACATCAGTCTAACCTCTTCCAGAAAATTAAAAAATGGTAATTCCCTCGCAAACACTAGTGCAGTACTTATACTCTCTACAATATTAGACGTTATAGCCCATCCCCCGATGAGTTTCTGCATGACACCTAGACCACTTATCATATCCAGTCAACTCCAAATATTCTTTAACACCTACATCAACCTTGTCTACGGTATTCGGTAGCCTATCAAACTCAAGTTTATATCACGTCTTTGTCATTGTATAAAATACAGGACATAGCTCCTTGGAGGACTTTCTAAATTTCTTTTCAACATTACCCCACAAATGCCACATACAAGTATAATGCGGCACATTATTATACACTCTTGTCACTGCCTTTATAATGATCTCATTTCTATCAGAGATAACACACGTATTACTCCTTTCCCCATAAGCCTCCCTCAGTTGTACAAAGAACCAAGTCCAAGCAGTGTCATTTTCCAAATCAATGATACCATAGGACAGTGGGAAATTATGTCCTACATTTTATTTATATACAAATTAACATAAAATCAAAAATATACATTCAAAAACACACTGAAACATACCTGCTCCATCCATTGTACTTGCAACCACAAACGTCCCATTATACAGTCCTCTTAGGTGACTTCCATCAACAACAATTACAGACCTGCAATGGTCAAAGCCTTGTATGAAACTATTCAATGCAACAAAAAGATATAAGAACTCATTTTTGTTGATTTTCTTCAGACGTATATGTGAGCCTGGATATGTAATATCCATCATATACAAGTATGCAGGAAGTTTGCTGTAAGATGCAGAAGTGGTGCCCCTCAAGGAAATCAAAGCCTTCTCTCTTTAGCCCTCCAAGCCAACGAGTAATTAATATCAACTCTAAGATATATTTTCACATCACTTCGAATATAAGAAGGTGTATATTTTCTCTTGTGATCAACAAGCTTAGACTTGACAATTCCACCAATCAGCATGCTTGTTGCATGTTTTTATGAATATACTTTATCATTCAAAGGACAAACAACTATGATTTGTATTAAATGCTCGGATCCTAAACATTCCATACTTGTTGATATTTGATGCTTTCAATAACCACTCACATTCATTAGAAATACATTTCAGCGTATAACTACATCAGATAATAGAGCATAAACACATCAATATACGAATAATTAAAGCAAAATATACAGTTATGTATTTGTATGTACAAACTATTTACCTGATTGCATTTGACCTCACTGTCTTATATTGAAATCTCTTTTCAATTGCATATCTTTCCATCACAGATTTCAAAGTGGCTTTGTCCTTATACACTTGGTCAACCTCCATGTACTTATTACATGGATCTGAAATGACTCCATTGTAGCTCCCTGACCCCAAAACACAAAGCGACTCTATTAATTCACCAATTGTCATCTGCCTAGTCTCAAATTCAGCAATACCATCTATACAAACAGATCTAACCATACCCTTCTCCTGATTTGAACTTTCACACAGTTCAGTGGTATTATTACTATTATCCAATATGCTTATAAAAAATGGATACTTGTTGAAGTCATTTGCAGCCTTTTTAAGCATTATATACACTCTAACACCCATGTCGTTGTGAATCAACATTGGTGTGTTGCTCTCTTCAACCTTATACTCAATTTTCAGCTTAATCACATTCATATCAACCCCGAGTTGCATTGCAATAACATTATACAACTCCTTATACGATGAACTTTCTTTAGAAATCACCCCCTCAATTGTATAATCAACGTAACAATTGTCACTGTCCCATCTACCAGAATGCATAATCAACACAACTAATGAAGCCATTTTTAGAATTTCTGTATAAAAAATCAAAAATATATATACATACACATTTATATGATTGAGAATTGCAACAACAAAAATAACATATACTTATACAAATTATAGCGAATTCAATTTTTTAGTTATATACATATTCCCAAAATATACACTTATATAAACGATTATATACACAAATTAAAGCTCTATACAAATATACAATTGACAAACCTAAAATAATTGACATATACATATACCTATTATATATAAATATACAGAATCAAATATCCAAAATAAGGAAAAACCTGCACTGTATAAATATACAAATTCGAATAAACTAGAGCAAATTCAGTTTTTTCATATTCTTATACAACTCACAACAACACTAATAGGTATATGTATATAACTTATAGCGAATTCAATTTTTCATTTATATACATATTATCAATATACACTTATATAAACGATTATATACACAAATTAAAGCTTTATACAAATATACAATTTACAAAATTATATAAAAATATACAAAATCATATATCCAAAATAATGATGAAGTTGCACTGTATAATTAAATATACAAATTCGAAACAAATAGTCAACAATTTCATATACGAATTATACATCTTACTGAATCATGTCAAAACACCTATACGTATAATTTCTTATCAAATCATAATACAATTTCATCTTCATTCATAGTTTTGACACCAAATATACAAATCCGAACAAAAATATTACTGTGAAAAAAGCTAATCTCCGATAAAAAAATTCAAAATAATCAACAATTTCATCCAGAATTCAAATTAACTATACAAATCATAAGTGTTAAACTCTATTATGAACAAAATATTCACTTCTGAATCTACATTCAATTGAAATTGATGAAAGTTTAAAAGGAAATCTGATTTTGAATACACGTTGAACACCAATTTCGACCAGAAAAAACAAAATTAGAATAGTTTTTCATCATGAAATTACCTCCTGTTGTTATCTCTAAAATCAATATGATCTCGATTGTTTGTATAGTACCGTCAACAGCTTGATCGATTTTCTAAATTGAGTTACAATGGAGTTCTTACTGTTGAAGAAGACATAGAAGGAAGGAAATTCGATTGAAACATAATGTGCGTGACTTCAACGATTTTTCCTTTTTTTCTAACCGAAATTACCACCTTTTTGTTTAATTTTTTTGAAAAATCAAAATGTATATTAAAATGAAGGAATACCGAGATATACAAAAAGACAGCTTCATAGCAAACACAAAACTTGCTATGGAGTGCAATTATATAAACTATAGCCATAACATATAATTATGAATTTTATAGTTGCTATACATAAAATTCTCTTATTAATACTCTATTTTATTTTTATGTTTTAATTAATTTTTATTTGGCCCACAGGCCGATCCTATCCATATTTCTCAAGCCCCACAAATCGGCAGAATTATTCAAACCGGGCTAAAAAATCCTTTACTTAAATGAATTCCAAAAATTATAACTTAGCCCTATCAAATTACGGATTAGATCAGGCCGGCCCAACAGGCCTAACCCATATTAACGGCTCTAATGAAAAGTGAAGATATGGGCTCCACTCTCCAGCTTGAGCACCCACCCTCGGTTTTTTTTTGACGAGAGGTTGTTGCTTGAATGGTAAGCATCCCTCACTTTCAACCTGAAGGTTACGAGTTCGAGTCACCAAGAGAGCAAAAACCTGAAGGTTACGAGTTCGAGTCACTAAGAGAGCAAAAATGGGTGGGAACCCTAAGGAGGGTTAAAAAAAAAACAAGCTAGTTTTTCTCCAAGCGTCTCATTAATAAAAAGGGCTGGTGGAGTGAGAGGAGAAAATAGAGTGGCGGAGTGAGTGTTCCACTCCCCTCTTATGCTTTAATTCACCATCTCCTCACCGAATCTTATGATGCAGCGGCAGCAAAGGCTAAGGCAAAGTCGGAGCCCGGCATGGGATAATCTACCCAACACAGCTCTTGTTATTATATTCTCCAAATCCTCCCTCAAAGATCGTATATACAACCTCCCTTTGGTATGCAAATCCTGGGCTAATACCTCTCATCACCCTCACTGTTGGGTCTCTTTTACTGTCGCTCCTCATGTTGATGCCTTTGTAAAATCTTCACCAGCTTTTCTAGACCCTTTTGATGGTAGACGCAACACCGATCCCCAAATTGGCATTCATGCCTTTCAGTCTCTTATCAGTAAAGCTGCTGGCGGATCCGCCTTGACCTCTCTCTATTTTTACCCTTTCCTCACTTCTCTTGATGGCTCTTCCAATGACGATGCCCTTCTTAAACTCATCACTACATCGTAAGCGCTCTCTCTCTCTCTCCATTTTACAATTATTGCTGAATTTCCTCAATTAATGTTGTGTTGTTATTTTTCCATAGCTGCCCCAATTTGAAAAACCTATCATTTCATGGATCCTTCAATGCCTCTGAAGAAGTTTTATTTCAAGTAGTACGGAGCTGTCCAAATATGGAGCTTGTGGACTTTTCTGATTCACCATACTTTATCCCTGCGATTTTACAAGAGATGGAGATTCACTGTCCTAATATTAGAGGCATTAGACGAAACGGATTTGTGCAACCTTTTCTCTCATCAACCCTCATAAAATGCTTCCCAGGTTTGAAGCTTCTAAACCTTTCTGATTCAAGCATTGGTGACAGAGACTTGCTCACCCTTGTCACTGGTAATTCTAGACTTGAATATTTGGATATTATGCGCTGCCAAAGCTTGATGCTCTACATGCACATAATTAAGGGAGCTCATCGTCGAATTGCTGAAATTCACTATGATTGAGTTTCCAACTCTGCTGGTATCTTGCCTAATTTGGATCCTATTGCTGTTGTACTGCATAATCAGGGTTGAACGTATTTAACAGATTTGTTTTCTGTTGATTAACAAACAAGTTGGTGACCATGTACTATTTACTGTTATTTGCTAAATAGATTGTTAACTTGTAGCTTAAACATTTTGCATTAGGAAGCATGAATGTGAGGAACTGGTTAGGAGTTGAACATGCTGGCTATAGTATTTTATTTCAATTCCATCCCCAAGTGTTAGCATTCAAACATGTAGACTTGAAAGTTGGCAGAAGCCTATTTTGTGAAAGGCAATTGCCTCGTCACCAATGGTGAGAGGCGAGGCGTGGCGACCCTTCATCGCCTTTAGCTTTGTGGCGAGGCGATATTCAAAAGGCGACGCCATGGAGAGAAGGTCGAGGCAAGAAAGCCGTCGACTTTTGTATTTTCTTAAAAAAAACAACCAATCTAGGATTTTAAAAGGTAATTTTAGGGGTTTCTTGTCAAATTTGCTCAGTTACACTTTTAGACTTAAAAAGGTAATTTTAGGGGTTTCTTTTCAAATTTGCACAGTTACACTCTTAGATTGCGACTGCAATTCCAACCAGTTGACTCGACTAGACTTCTCCGGCAATCAGCCAAACTTTTCTGGCAACTCCAAAGTCCAACCAATTCATATTTCTTCTTTTCTTCTTCAGATTTCTTCGTCCTTTGTTTCTTTTTCCAGCTTCTTCTCCAGACTTCAGTGTTACTACCTCTATTTTTATCTCACTGTTTTGACTTTTGTTCTTTTATTTTTTCTCATTCAAGTTCTAGACTTTTAGTATGTTCTATCTATTTTTAGTTTTTGAATTGAAATATTTACTAATATATTATTGCTATTGAGATTTTGATTATTTACATATGCAATTAAATATTTTAATTTTTTGTATTTATTGGAGCCGCACTTCAAAAAGGTGAGCGCCTCGCCGTTCGCCTTGTGGCGAGGCAGACCCTTGTCGCCTTTTGTCGCGTTTTGCCATCGAAAACATTGCGGCGGGCTAGAATTTTAGACACTGAAACCTGTTGAAGTTTGAGGTTGAAATAAATCATTAGAATATTGAAATTGTCCTGCCAGATTTCGTCTAGCAAGGACAGTAGCCTAACCCTTGTGCTTTGATTTTTTCATCAACAACTGTTGAAGATCATGTTTTACTTTTGCTTTGGTACTTGAAAAGAATGCTAATGACATTCATAAATATAAGTGGACAGTGATAATAGAATGATTTTAACCTTGAACGTTCTGTCTCTTTTGGGATTTTCTTTCTCTTCAATATCCCAGCTTTAGATATTAGTGTTTTTTTTTAGTGTAATGATATCTTGAACCTTCTTAACTGGATTAAATGTTTCTCACTGATAATTTGTATTCAATAGCTCTCTTGCACAAGTTGTTTACGAATAATCAACAGTGATAGTTTTCAGATACTCTCTGGGCCGAGAAATTGTTAGATCGTTTGCTTGTTGACACTTTGTACCTATCTTGTAGAGTCGTCTCACGTTCAATACACCACTGGCCTTCCTTCTCATTTGTTATCTATTCTAATTTAGTTTTGAAACGTGTTTGAATAGTGGCGTCTCTCATCCTCCTTAGGTCAGTTGGAGATAGCAGTTGGTTGTTAAGACATGTTTTCCCTTTGACAGTTGCTACGAGTCTCAACCATGCTATTGCTGCTATTAGATGCATTTGGCAGTTCACCGTTAATGCGATTTCATATACAATACGCCAATTTCTATTTCTTTTGCTTTGCCATCGGATGCTACTTGGCTTTCTTTGAATCACCTAGAAGTTGTATACCGTCAGTGCCCGTTTGGATTGGCTTATTTCCAGTGCTAAGCCAAAATAGCTTTTAAGTAGTTTTGAAACGTGGGTAAAGTTAAAAAGTTATAAGCACTTACTTTAAAGCCAAAATATAATAAATTAAGCCAAAAATACAAGTTAGAAATCCTAACTTATGGCTTTTGACTTATAAGTCATAATCCAAACAGGTCCCGAACCTGGCAAACCTCAGCAAACTATATTAGCCTTCACATTAAATGATTATCATTCTCACTTCTGGCAGAATGAATTAGATTATCTTTCATAGTTGGAAACTGGGAAATCTGTTCTCTTTAGCAGTTCAATCTATTCTTATTTGTTGTAAGCCTATTTTACACCATTCATGGTTTCATAAAATAGAGTGCCAGCCAGTGCCAAACAAAAGAAATCTCTCAAACCATAACAGCTAGTAGTAATTTAACTGTTGTAATCAAGACATCGACAATTAATGATTACAATATTCACTAAATTGAAAAGTGTCTCCAGTTACATAACAATTAGACGTTCCGAGTGATCCTGCCAGAAATGGCAAAACTATCAGTCTATGGGATGTTCGTGTAGGCTTCTCATTTTCTGGGTACATCTACTATTGTCTCATCTTTATCCCACCCAAAATTTGTGTCTCAGCTGCTGCCCTTTCAATGTCGTTACCGTCTTGAGGTGAGAGGAATTACCTTTATCATTGCACTGGGAATAACAGCTATCAACTGCATACACGGAAAACACCTGTGTTACAAGTTGAATACACATGAAAACTGATTCTCCTCCGTTTTGATTTGTTTGCCCTATTTTGACATGACAGGAAGTTTAATATATATATATATATATATATATATATATATATATATATATATATATATATAATATTTTATTTTTTTTAATTTTTTTTTAATCTTGTGGTGTAAAATTTAAGACATGTCAAATGTAGCAAAATGTCATCTGGATATCTTAAACACTTTATGTGGAAAGTTTAAATTAAAGAATTGCTAAAAGAGAAAGAGACATTTTCTTTAAATGGATGGAGTAGAAGATTGCATCCAGTTAACTGATCCTCATCAATCAATAATTTCCATAATAAGTTCCATAGATATAATACTTACCCAAGCAAGGCCAATGCACAAGATGCTAAAACCAGGATATCGAAAAGGAGGTTTTTCTGAAAGGAATAAGGCTGCAAAACAAAAAGTTGCAAGTGTTAGCTTTATGGGGATAAAGAAATACTTTGCTATGGCATAAATATCAATTCGACTTACCGGTAAGAGGACTATATATGAAGGGGGAGAGGATGTTGGCTATGGAACTTATGCTTGAAATGCACCCTTGAGCAATTCCCTAGTAGAAGAATGAGAAACATCGTACTTGTCAGAAAGCGCTTTTTTTGCTATTTTAAGTTTGATGCTGGAAGCTTTTTGTATATCAGGCATTAATCAGTCAAATTCGCAGAATAGAGCGACTAGTCACCTGTTCACTAGGCCCAATTTGTTTTGAGACAATGCTTTGAATCTGCAGTTATTAAACATCCATCAATGGTCATAGACTCATAGGAGTAGAGGAATGAAAAAGGAAAATATTGAAAATAAATCTGAGAAAACTCACAGAGGGTTTCACGAGGGAGGTGAAAATAGGCAACAATGCAGCAGTATAAGGAATCTGAAAATCAGGGAGTTAAATGCACTTGAAGCATAAAGACAGATAGAAAATTCAAGCTCAATGTTTTAGAATTTACCCAAATTTTTCGTGCTACACTGTCAATAAGAAGCTGCAGATTTAGGTAAAAATTAGTCGTTTGCCCTCGTCTAAAGAGGAGAGATCAAATCAAATGCTGACATGGTTAGTGTTCCGTATGAGGATTAGTTGGAATAAAAAACTCCTGGAAAAGTACATTTTAAGTGTTCACATACATTTGTAAATCCAGCAATCAGTCCTAAGCATAGCAGAACCTCCTCTCCTATAAGAGGAGCCAACATAGGCATGAGGAGCAACTGCATGATTTGAAAAATTAATATATGAAATATAACCATGAGGAAGAAAATATAAGTTTCTCCGATCCATAGCAAAAAGTACCTGAGAAGTTGCTGAGCAAATGTTGGCTATAAGCATCACATCAGCAAAGTTATCTTTTTAAAAATGAAATCGAGCCTTTAAGAAGTACTGCAGGGAAATATTTAAAGACGCTATCAAGTTAACCATATGGTTGAAAGAAGTAAAATTGGCCTTCCAAAAGCTCCCCTTGCTTCATACTATCATGTATCGATACTCCAGCTTCTCTCAAGATGAACCAGTTTTTGACATGCCAAAATTTTACAGCAAGGACTTATTTTATTCTAAATATGATCGATGGTTAATACGTACTTAGGTTGTCATCAATGAATGCCCAATTAACACTTGAAAAAGGAAAAAAAAAAGTACCTGAAATGGAGCTTGTTCTCCTCCTTCTGCTAGGCTATTCAAGAAAGCAACAGATGCTGCAAGAGAAGAAGTAGGACTGCAACACGACATCAACAATTGTCATCATATCTCTTCTTTTGTTAGAAAATTTGATGATAAAATAGCTCTTGTACCATCTGCTTACCTCTTCCTAAGAAAGCAAATGATATCCTTGAGGGATGGAACTTTCTTGAACACCTTTATATTCTTTGTAGTCTCACAATCCAATTCAGTATCTTCCATTTCATTATTTCTCAAAATTGGCTGGTCCTCAATAGAATACTCTTTAACGTGAGTTGTATCCTCCAGAAAAATTTGCATGTATACAGCAGCAATTGTTGATGCAATTGTTGCTACCTTCATCAATAAAGAAGATCATAAATAGAACAAAACTAGATCAGTCAAAAGCTAAAATTCAGAGAAGAACCAGAAATATCTGAGAAGTAGAGAGGAAGTGATCAGCTAAGGTTCCACAGACAAATGCAGCAGATCCAACACCAGCCAAAATTCCGATTGCGGAGGCACGCTTTGCCTGTGACATATGATCTGCCTGAAAACACAGAGGTTGAAACAAAATGTTATTAATAATTGCATTGTTTTTAGTACTATATATTGTTTATGTGGATAAAGTATACGAATATAGGGTGTAAATAGATTATGAGGCAAAGTGATGTAAAAAGAGAATGTATTGGAGAACAATAATTACCACAAAAGCAAGGGCCACACACTGAATACCACCATCACATATCATGCCAGTGAGTGTCCTCAACACATAGTAGACATAGTAAAATTTCTTGGTCCTCCTATATGCCAATATGATTGTCAAATGTGACTTCCATCAGTTAGTACTTCTTTTTTCTTTAAAATGAGAGGAGTATTGAAAACAATCCTAAACTTGTTTCTGAACTATTGTCAGCCTTAAAAATACCAATTT